AGCCCCCCGAGAGCACCGTCCCTGCCCTGCCCTCTCCGCACCTCAACTGGTCGCAGTGACGCACTGTGCCCAGCGTTCCTTTTTCATAGGTCTCCCCTCGCCACTGGTCACAGTGGCCACTGTGACATCAGCACCGCTGGCCCGCGTGGGCCCCGAATACGGGCAGGGGCACCCTCGACCACACACCACCCACTGTGACACGGCCACTGCATCACCGGGCTGGCTCACATCACAGGCGGGGACCCAAGCTCTCGGCACCCACCTCACAGGGGCAGCTGCTCCAGCAGCAAGTGCTGAGTCAGGGGCCAGCTCAGGACATGGTTTCCTGGTGGATGCGGCAGTGTTTGGCTAACGGCTGGACTCGATGACCTTTAGGGCCTTCTCCAATTTAAATGAGTTCTGTGACTCTCATTACCGTTCCGCTATTACTTTATCACCATTTGCTTACCCTATGATTTTCCTTCAATTGTCAATTCCTTACCGTTTGATCATCACTTCACCACGAAGAAGCCCTTTTAATTAACCCGCCAAGGATGACTTCCCTGAATAATCCACCTGCGGCACCAGGACAAACACCAGGCCCTGTTTCGGGCGCAACCAGAGTAGGAAAAAGGAATCGTGGAATAGTTTGGGTTGGATGGACCTTCAATGGTCATCCAGTCCAACACCCCTGCAATGAGCAGGGACTTCTTCAACTAGATCAGACTGCCTCGAACCACACCCAGCCTGGCCTCGAATGTCTCCAGGGATGGGGCATCTACCATCTCTCTGGGCAGCCTGTGCCAGGATTTTACCACCCTCATTGTAAAGAAGTTCTCTCTCACATCCAGCCTCAATCTTCCCTCTTTTAGCTTAAAAGCGTTACCCCTCATGCTATCGCAACAGGCCCTGCTAAAAAAGTCTCTCTCCGTCTTTCTTACAGGCCCCTTTTAAGAAATGAAAGGCTGCAATAAGGGCTCCTCGGAGGCTTGTCTTCTCCAGGCTCAAGAAACCCAATCCTCTCAGCCTTTCCTCAGAGGAGAGGTGCTCCATCCCTCTGATGGTCTCTGTGGCCCTCCTCTGGACCCTCTCCAACAGGTCCATGTCTTTCCTGGCTGTTAGGCAGGGCTCCAGAGGGCTCCAGAGCTGGATGCAGGACTGCAGGGGGGTCTCACCAGAGCGGAGTAGAGGGGAAGAACCCCTTCCCTCCACCTGCTGGCCACTCTCCTTTGGATGTGGCCCGGGACACGGTTGGTTTCTGGGCTGCAAGCGCACACTGATGGGTCATGTTGACTTTTTAGCCAGCACCCCAAGTCCTTCTCCTCAGGGCTGCACTGACCAAGTAACCAGTGTTAAAACACTCACCTCAAGCAATAATCTATGCCTGTCTTCCCAAACATCTCTTTCTTCACTGAGGTCTACCGATTTACAAAATAACTTCGGGCCCCCTGCACAAAAAGAATATATTGACGTGGTTACACCCTTCTGAATATGCTCCTCTTTGTAACTCTCATGAACGACACAGCAACAAAGTCAGACGGCCCGTTCTTCATATTCCCCTCTCGCCCCCCCCCCCCCCCCTCCCCCCCCTCCCCAACACCGGGGCCTCCAACAGAAATGTTACGTATTACAGCCTTGCGTCCTAAGAAAAACGAACGGCAGCAGCAGCTTCCCCTGATATGCTCAAATATAGACCGCAGTGAAACAGCATTTGTTTCATTAGAAGCTCAGCACCACTATCCTGCATCTGCCAAGAAATTGGCTAGAATATCAAAAGCAATTGCTTTGGTGGCCTACGAGTAGTTGCTGGTTTGTTTGTGGTTTGAGGCTTTTGGTTGTTGGTTTGTTGTTTTCTTTGCTTCAGGGCTTGTTTGGTTTTATTTTGGGGGGTTTTTGTTTGTTTGTCTTTTTGGTTGGTTGGTTGGTTGGGGATTTTGGGGGCTCTTTTTTTTTTAGTTCAAAGTTAATTACATTAACAAGAAAAAAACCCCACAATATTTTGGATCAAAAACCTTGTGGGCATATGTGACTGATACGAATAGTCAATATTTTTAACAAGAACGTCAGAAACACTGGAAACAATTAAGTATCAGATATATGCCTGAAAGGATCCAAAATATCCAGATAACTTGTCAAAAAGAGGGTGACCAAGTCATGTTATACCTCTTAGGCGTGTTATACCTCCATCACCTTTGGAGAAGAAGAAAGATCTAGCACGTTCTGTCTGTGGTAAAGAGAAAAAACTAGAAAAAAACACAAAGGAAATTCAGCATCGTAAGAGTTAGTGTTAAATTCCATTAGCCCAAGTCCAAGCTGTAAGGCTGTAAGGCTCCAGAGAAATAGTATCTCGGGCAGGACACTATACCACAGTAACCCAATACAACCTCCTATAAGAAAAGCTTTCTGAAGAAAACATCACATGCGATTTGACTTTGGGCCAAGCCCACTACCCAGCTGAGTTCTCATCACTGAGCTAGAAAGTCAGCTTTTCTTCTCAACAATCACGTGTGGCATCGGCATTTTTGACTACTACATTCTGTGAAGCAAGGAATGCTTTCCACAGATGACTGTACTTGCCCAGAGATGTGGAATGAAGATGTCAGTCACCCCGTGAGCCAGGTGCTGTTATTTATATTCTCATAGCATCAACCCACCACAACCAAGTAGACAACAACTACAAATAAAACTTGCATTTCTTTGTCCCTTTTGCTTTCTGATACCCCTGGTTGATCATCACCCTCAGAACTGCCATCTTGGAAACATTGGATCTTCTTGCCATGTGACTTTGGACAGGTTTTATTGTTTCAGCTATGTCGGGCACTGCAGTAGTTAAAAAAAAAGTAAAATCGAATTCTTTCCCTACAACTAGATCATCACTTCATCATGATGAAAGCCCTTTTCATTAACCCACTGTGGAGGACTTCCCTGAATAACTCGCCTGCAATACCAGGACCATGTCTCGGGCACAACCAGAGTAGGAGAAAAGGAAGGTGACATCCTCCTAGTGGAGAATCCAGGTCCAATCCAGGCAATTCAGGACCAAGACGGGAACCTTAAGCCCCCAGAAGCCTTCCTCCGTTACCAGCCGGCTGACGCTGCTGAGAGTGACCAGAGGCTTCCCAGGCTGCTTCCTTCAGCTCCTGCCTTTAGAGCATCCTCAGCCACCCTCTTCTACCAGCCACGTTCCAGGCCAGACTCTAGTGCTCAGTTTCCCCTTGTCCCCCGGCTTCTGAGACTTTGCTCGGCCTTCCGACACCAGGGCGTTCGAGAGCTCCGTCACCTACAGAGCTGACCGGTGCCAGGGAACAAAGACCTCGGTTCACAGTGACGCTGTGCATGGCCACAGCCCTTTGGCCAGCTCCACTCGAGCACCGCTGCTCGGGAGTGCCTCAGAGCTCACCGTGCAATCCCCCTGAAGAGCACGACCTGCTCTGACCATGCCCACGCCTCGCGTCTTCCCAATCACAGCGGTCAAGAGGAAGGGGACAAAGTGCTGGCCCCGAGTCCTCTTTTGCGCCCTCGATACCTCCTTCCCTTCCGCACCGCCTCGATACCTCCTTCCCTTCCTCAAAAGCCTGACAGGTTCCCTCCCAGCTTCCCCTGCCTTGCTCAGAGAGGACGCTGCCCCCTACTCCACTGAATCAGTTTTCAAGCTGCATTAAGACCTATCAGGAAGGCACTTGGGGTGCACAGCACCTGTAAGACCACCTGTAGTTTGCCTGAAGAGCAAAGGGCTGTTTGAACCTGTACAATCACCCTGTGGGATTTCCTTCATGCCTTGTCCCCCATTATTCTTTGATTCAGCCTTCCAGCCCTCCTCCAGCTTCCACAGAGCAGCTGCTTGGCAGTCGTTCTGCAGCCACGTCTTTCCTCCGTCCTGCACTGCCAAGGTACTCACTGGTCTTCAAGACGAGGGCAATCCTTTCAGAGGACTGGCATTTCCCAGGGCCCCTGTCGCCCTCCTTGTGAAGTACGTGGGGGATTTTTGCTCTAAAGGGCACACGAAGGGACTCAAGCCTGCAACGCCAGGTAGCGCTCTGACCCTCCTGGACTTTGTGGCGGAAACTCCCTACCAGGTGTTTGCAATCTCTAGTCAAGAGGATTTCTTGGCTCATAGTGCTAGAAGGAAGCCTTCCGTTGGCACAGCAGCAATGCGTCATGTCACAAACACAGACGTGACACTGAAGTGAACTCTTAAAGAACAGCAGCTTTGCCCACTGCCACCATTCTCACTAACCTAGGCAATGAGGATAGGATATTGCTTATAGCCTTGTCCAGAGGGGAACAGAGCTGAGGCGTGTCAGAAGTTGCTGGGGGCAAGGTGCATGATTTTGACATCGAGCCGTGAGGGCCAGACTGGCTGCTGAGTGAGTGCAGGAGGTCGGTGTGGGGAAGGTGCTGCTGACCCCTAGAGAGAGGACAAGGCTCTGGGCCCAGCCCCTGACACTGACCCTTGAGAAAGGGAGCGTGGGAGGAGAAAGCCAACCAATGAGCCTGCAGTCTCCCAGTCCAGAGATGAAGGGCCACCTTTATTGTGCCGATGGAGGGGGATCAGAGCTGTCGCTCAGAGATGAAGCATGCTTGGTCCCACGGAGGTACAAGGGCACCGTGTTGGCAGATTGGGCCCGATGTTGCAAGCGGGAGTTGTCTCGCACCCACGTGGGCTTAGTGGGGATGGAGCAGCTTGCCGCGTTCCAGTGCTGCGGAGCCAGAGGATGCCACGGATGACCGCTGCCTGCCGGTGCTGGTGCTGCTGGGCTCAGGTATTGATAGGTGAGCACTGGGACAGCCCCGCACTGCTGGCTGTGGGTGCTCCTTTCACCACGTGGTGCTGGCGGTTGGCTTCTGGCCCACGTGTAGGGAGTTTGGTCTGACAGTTCAACTGGGAGCACTTTCACCATCGATCGGGCTCCTGGGGGCTGGAGATGCTGCTGCCCTCACACACTGAGGGGCCGGCATGTGGCCCCAGTGTCGCAGTGCCAGGGGCGGCTGATGTTTAGTACCAGAGAATTGTGGCATGGCTATAATGCCTCCTGGCTGTCACTGCTGGGGTAGCTGCTGTCTAAACCAAGGGAGACATAGGAGGACAGCGAAGCCTCCTGGCTGTCACTGCTGGGGTTGCTGCTGTCTAAACCAATGAGAACATAGGAGGACAGCGATGCCTCCTGGCTGTCACTGCTGGGCCTGCTGCTGTCCGATGCTTGGTAGCCATAGGACAGCGATGCCTCCTGGCTGTCACTGCTGGGGCTGCTGCTGTCCGATGCTTGGTAGCCATAGGAGGACAGCGATAACTCCTGCCTGTCACTGCTGGGGCTGCTGCTGTCCGATGCTTGGTAGCCATAGGAGGACAGCCATGACTCCTGCCTGTCAATGCTGGGGCTGCTGCTCCCTGATTGCTGGGAGCTACAGGAGGACAGCGATGACTCCTGGCTGTCACTGCTGGTCGCAATTGCTGGGGAGCGCTGGGAAAGCCCTGACACAGCCTGTCCGGATGCCCAACTTTTCGCACGTGGTGCTGGTGTGTGGCTGTGCTCACGGCATCTTTTTCGCCGCATGGTGGGAGTTTGGGCCCGACGTTGCAAGCGGGAGTGGTCTCGCACCTGCACAGGCCCCGTGCATCTTGAGGTGCTGCCTCTTTGGCTTGCTCTGGAGCCACGGGATGATGCTGATGGCCGCTGTCTTCTGGTGCTGCGGTTGCGGGTCTCACATGCTGGGGGGCACTGGGACAGCCCTGGCACCGCCTGGCTGTGGGTGCCTCTCACAGCTTGGCTTCTCTCTCGCTCTCTTGTTGGTCGTGTATAGGGAGTCTGGGTCTGACGGTAACACCGGGTTCGATTCCGTCGTCGATGAGGCCCAGGGGGGCTGGAGCGGCTGCTGTGCTCAGGCAGTGGGAAGCCGTGGAATGGCCCCAAATCCAACTGTCTGCTAGTGCTCAGGCTGATGGTCTCCTGTGCTGGAGGTCCCAGAGTCTGCCCAGATGCTGCTGGGGTGCTGCTGCTGGGACCAGCAAGCTCTGAGCTGACTCTGGAGGCTGCAAGGGGAAGAAGAAAGGTCAAGGGTACGGCTCCCAGCTCTGGGGCAGGATAGGCCAGAGCCGTGCCACAGCCCTTCCTGGAGCCAAGCTCACAACAGCCACCCACTTCCGGGCCTTGCAGGGGCCCCAGCCCCGGCACATCCACGTGCTTTCACACTTACAGGTGCCCACGCCAGCACAGCTGTCACACTCCCATCTCTCCCTGCTGTTCCCCAAGTTGGAGCAGCGTCTGTGCGTCCCCTCAGCAGCGCAGGATTGGCAGAGAAGCAGCTGCCAGGGTCTACGGAAAGAACCACGTTCATGGTTCTGACGATAAAGCGCCCAGAGCATGGGATCGTTCAGTAGAGCTCTTGTTCTCAGCCCTTCTACTTCAAGCCCTTACTGAAACAGAGATCCCATCCCGAGCCCCGCGGTGCAGCTTTGGCACCTTACCCCTCTGGCTCTGCCTCCTCCCTGCCTCCTGGACAAAGGCACTCCCTGGCATCGCAGCTGCTGTGCCTCTGGTACAGTGGTGCATATGCACTGTTGTCCTCCCATGACGCTTGTCTGATGGAGAAAGGAAAATTGATGAGCCCCTGCTGCCCCGGCAGACAGCAGATGCAGGGCAGGTGCAGCAGATGCAGATGCAGCAGATGCAGCAGGTCCAGGCGTGGCACAGTGCCGGGCAGGATGACACCAACCTTCTGGGGATTTGGATCCCCATGAAGAGCATTTCCTGGAGAAATATATTCCTGTTTCTACAGAGAGGGCACTGTAAGCAAAAAAAGCCGGCGGAAACAGCATGTTTCTGCAAGGAGAAACACAAGGAGCATGAGTGAGGCTCTGGTGCTGCTGAGAGGCTGCCGTGCCTGGGGCGAGGGAACGGCTCCTACCTGGACGCAGGCCCTGTGGAACCAGGCGTGTTTGCACACCGGGCACACCATGGTCCCATAGGTTGTTCTGCCTTCGACAGGGTTCAGGCAGATGAGGCAGGTGGTGCCCCCTGGAGCCACCTCCTCTTGCTGCCGTGGGCGGTGCTCCCAGCAATAGGAGCTAGAGGAAGAAGGAAAGATGGGTGAGTTGAGTGCCACTGGGTTCTTCCCTGGTGACGGCGAAGAGGGGGAGGAGGTACCTGTGCGGTGGGATATAATGGTTGATGCATTCACCCTCCATGGCACAGGGGAGATGGAACCTGCGGTCGCAGCCCGTTGCCTGGCAGGTGATGGTGGCCCCGCTCTCACCACACACGAAGCAGTCCTGGAAAGAGCACAGCAGCCCCCATCAGCGGCAGCCTCAGGGCCTCCACAGCAGGACCCACACCTCAGGGGCAGGGCGCGGGATGTGCCCAATACCGGGTCACAGGCCACAGATCCGCCTGGCAGAGCAGGCTCCTGTGCTGGAGCCGATGTGCAGCTGCTGGGAGCAAGACTTTTGTCCCAGAGCTGGGTGGAAGGGCAGGGAATTTGGTCTTGGCATCTGGGCTAAGCTCCCACAAACATCTCCTGGCACAAATCTCCCTGATTGTCTCAGATCCTCACCCTCTGGGCTGCCAGCTCGACTGTACGTTGAATATACAGAGGGAGATGTTGCATGACTTCTTCCTGTTCACTCACGTCTAGATGAATTTCGTTGGCTAAACGCTGCAGAAGAGAAGAGAGGAGGAGCTGATGAGGGGCGCGCGGCAGGGCCGGTGTGTCGCAAAGCTGCAGCCAGCCCCAGAGGAACTCACCAGGCAAAAGAAATGGGCACAGATCCCTTGATAGTCCTCTATTGGCCCGCAGACGTCCGGGTCTGCATCTGACCGGTGACACAGAACGCATGCTGGAGGGGAGAGAGCAAATGCCACTGGGAATGAGCACCCCTGTGGGGCCGGGGACACGGCCCTGAGGGATCGCCCCCAAGAACTGCTGTGTCCATGCCTAGCTGAGTGCTGGGCAGGGCTGGAAGCCTTGGGGAGGAAAGGGCATCGCAGGCACGGGTGTCCCAGTGGGTGCCCGCTGCCCAGCCGGATCCCGCTTGCCGAAGAGAGTAGGGGGCCTCTCAGAGGGTGGTGTGGGAGCTCCTGACACCCCCTGCCAATGCTCCCGGCCCCACGCTGACTGCCCCAAGACTCCCTCTGCCAGGCTGTAGGAGCGGGACTTTGCTCTCACCCTGCTCCATCGCGCCGGGTGTCCTACACCTCCTTGCGGATGTGTCAGACATGAACGGTGTGTGTTTGGAGACTCCCCGTCCCAGCAGTGCTGGGGCGTCTTCTCCAAATGCTCCTCTGCTACCTCTGAGGGAGAAGCGAGACGCGGGTGAGCTTGCAGCACAGGCCCAGAGCCCTGTGGTGTGGAGCTCCCCTCCTCCCTCTGCAGCCCCCCGAGAGCACCGTCCCTGCCCTGCCCTCTCCGCACCTCACTGGTCGCAGTGACGCACTGTGCCCAGCGTTCCTTTTTCATAGGTCTCCCCTCGCCACTGGTCACAGTGGCCACTGTGACATCAGCACCGCTGGCCCACGTGGGCCCCGAATACGGGCAGGGGCACCCTCGACCACACACCACCCACTGTGACACGGCCACTGCATCACCGGGCTGGCTCACATCACAGGCGGGGACCCAAGCTCTCGGCACCCACCTCACAGGGGCGGCTGCTCCAGCAGCAAGTGCTGAGTCAGGGGCCAGCTCAGGACATGGTTTCCTGGTGGACGCGGCAGTGTTCGGCTTACGCCTGGACTCGGTGACCTTTAGGGCCTTCTCCAATTTAAATGAGTTCTGTGACTCTCATTACCGTTCCGCTATTACTTTATCACCATTTGCTTACCCTATGATTTTCCTTCAATTGTCAATTCCTTACCGTTTGATCATCACTTCACCACGAAGAAAGCCCTTTTAATTAACCCGCCAAGGATGACTTCCCTGAATAATCCACCTGCGGCACCAGGACAAACACCAGGCCCTGTTTCGGGCGCAACCAGAGTAGGAAAAAGGAATCGTGGAATAGTTTGGGTTGGATGGACCTTCAATGGTCATCCAGTCCAACACCCCTGCAATGAGCAGGGACTTCTTCAACTAGATCAGACTGCCTCGAACCACACCCAGCCTGGCCTCGAATGTCTCCAGGGATGGGGCATCTACCATCTCTCTGGGCAGCCTGTGCCAGGATTTTACCACCCTCATTGTAAAGAAGTTCTCTCTCACATCCAGCCTCAATCTTCCCTCTTTTAGCTTAAAAGCGTTACCCCTCATGCTATCGCAACAGGCCCTGCTAAAAAAGTCTCTCTCCGTCTTTCTTACAGGCCCCTTTTAAGAAATGAAAGGCTGCAATAAGGGCTCCTCGGAGGCTTGTCTTCTCCAGGCTCAAGAAACCCAATCCTCTCAGCCTTTCCTCAGAGGAGAGGTGCTCCATCCCTCTGATGGTCTCTGTGGCCCTCCTCTGGACCCTCTCCAACAGGTCCATGTCTTTCCTGGCTGTTAGGCAGGGCTCCAGAGGGCTCCAGAGCTGGATGCAGGACTGCAGGGGGGTCTCACCAGAGCGGAGTAGAGGGGAAGAACCCCTTCCCTCCACCTGCTGGCCACTCTCCTTTGGATGCGGCCCGGGACACGGTTGGTTTCTGGGCTGCAAGCGCACACTGATGGGTCATGTTGACTTTTTAGCCAGCACCCCAAGTCCTTCTCCTCAGGGCTGCACTGACCAAGTAACCAGTGTTAAAACACTCACCTCAAGCAATAATCTATGCCTGTCTTCCCAAACATCTCTTTCTTCACTGAGGTCTACCGATTTACAAAATAACTTCGGGCCCCCTGCACAAAAAGAATATATTAACGTGGTTACACCCTTCTGAATATGCTCCTCTTTGTAACTCTCATGAACGACACAGCAACAAAGTCAGACGGCCCGTTCTTCATATTCCCCTCTCGCCCCACCCTCCCTCCCCCCCCTCCCCAACACCGGGGCCTCCAACAGAAATGTTACGTATTACAGCCTTGCATCCTAAGAAAAACGAACGGCAGCAGCAGCTTCCCCTGATATGCTCAAATATAGACCGCAGTGAAACAGCATTTGTTTCATTAGAAGCTCAGCACCACTATCCCGCATCTGCCAAGAAATTGGCTAGAATATCAAAAGCAATTGCTTTGGTGGCCTACGAGTAGTTGCTGGTTTGTTTGTGGTTTGAGGCTTTTGGTTGTTGGTTTGTTGTTTTCTTTGCTTCAGGGCTTGTTTGGTTTTATTTTGGGGGGTTTTTGTTTGTTTGTTTGTCTTTTTGGTTGGTTGGTTGGTTGGGGATTTTGGGGGCTCTTTTTTTTTTAGTTCAAAGTTAATTACATTAACAAGAAAAAAACCCCACAATATTTTGGATCAAAAACCTTGTGGGCATATGTGACTGATACGAATAGTCAATATTTTTAACAAGAACGTCAGAAACACTGGAAACAATTAAGTATCGGATATATGCCTGAAAGGATCCAAAATATCTAGATAACTTGTCAAAAAGAGGGTGACCAAGTCATGTTATACCTCTTAGGCGTGTTATACCTCCATCACCTTTGGAGAAGAAGAAAGATCTAGCACGTTCTGTCTGTGGTAAAGAGAAAAAACGAGAAAAAATAGAAAGGAAATTCAGCATCGTAAGAGTTAGTGTTAAATTCCATTAGCCCAAGTCCAAGCTGTAAGGCTGTAAGGCTCCAGAGAAATAGTATCTCGGGCAGGACACTATACCACAGTAACCCAATACAACCTCCTATAAGAAAACCTTTCTGAAGAAAACATCACATGCGATTTGACTTTGGGCCAAGCCCACTACCCAGCTGAGTTCTCATCAATGAGCTAGAAAGTCAGCTTTTCTTCTCAACAATCACGTGTGGCATTGGCATTTTTGACTACTACACTCTGTGAAGCAAGGAATGCTTTCCACAGATGACTGTACTTGCCCAGAGATGTGGAATGAAGATGTCAGTCTCCCCGTGAGCCAGGTGCTGTTATTAATATTCTCATAGCATCAACCCACCACAACCAAGTAGACAACAACTACAAATAAAACTTGCATTTCTTTGTCCCTTTGGCTTTCTGATACCCCTGGTTGATCATCACCCTCAGAACTGCCATCTTGGAAACACTGGATCTTCTTGCCATGTGACTTTGGACAGGTTTTATTGTTTCAGCTATGTCGGGCACTGCAGTAGTTAAAAAAGAAGTAAAATCGAATTCTTTCCCTACAACTAGATCATCACTTCATCATGATGAAACCCTTTTCATTAACCCACTGTGGAGGACTTCCCTGAATAACTCACCTGCAATACCAGGACCATGTCTCGGGAACAACCAGAGTAGGAGAAAAGGAAGGTGACATCCTCCTAGTGGAGAATCCAGGTCCAATCCAGGCAATTCAGGACCAAGACGGGAACCTTAAGCCCCCAGAAGCCTTCCTCCGTTACCAGCCGGCTGACGCTGCTGAGAGTGACCAGAGGCTTCCCAGGCTGCTTCCTTCAGCTCCTGCCTTTAGAGCATCCTCAGCCACCCTCTTCTACCAGCCACGTTCCAGGCCAGACTCTAGTGCTCAGTTTCCCCTTGTCCCCCGGCTTCTGAGACTTTGCTCGGCCTTCCGACACCAGGGCGTTCGAGAGCTCCGTCACCTACAGAGCTGACCGGTGCCAGGGAACAAAGACCTCGGTTCACAGTGACGCTGTGCATGGCCACAGCCCTTTGGCCAGCTCCACTCGAGCACCGCTGCTCGGGAGTGCCTCGGAGCTCACCGTGCAATCCCCCTGAAGAGCACGACCTGCTCTGACCATGCCCACGCCTCGCGTCTTCCCAATCACAGCGGTCAAGAGGAAGGGGACAAAGTGTTGGCCCGAGTCCTCTTTTGCACCCTCGATACCTCCTTCCCTTCCGCACTGCCTCGATACCTCCTTCCCTTCCTCAAAAGCCTGACAGGTTCCCTCCCAGCTTCCCCTGCCTTGCTCAGAGAGGACGCTGCCCCCTACTCCACTGAATCAGTTTTCAAGCTGCATTAAGACCTATCAGGAAGGCACTTGGGGTGCTCAGCACCTGTAAGACCACCTGTAGTTTGCCTGAAGAGCAAAGGGCTGTTTGAACCTGTACAATCACCCTGTGGGATTTCCTTCATGCCTTGTCCCCCATTATTCTTTGATTCAGCCTTCCAGCCCTCCTCCAGCTTCCACAGAGCAGCTGCTTGGCAGTCGTTCTGCAGCCACATCTTTCCTCCGTCCTGCACTGCCAAGGTACTCACTGGTCTTCAAGACGAGGGCAATCCTTTCAGAGGACTGGCATTTCCCAGGGCCCCTGTCACCCTCCTTGTGAAGTACGTGGGGGATTTTTGCTCTAAAGGGCACACGAAGGGACTCAAGCCCCCAACGCCAGGTAGCGCTCTGACCCTCCTGGACTTTGTGGCGGAAACTCCTTACCAGGTGTTTGCAATCTCTAGTCAAGAGGATTTCTTGGCTCATAGTGCTAGAAGGAAGCCTTCCGTTGGCACAGCAGCAATGCGTCATGTCACAAACACAGACGTGACACTGAAGTGAACTCTTAAAGAACAGCAGCTTTGCCCCACTGCCACCATTCTCACTAACCTAGGCAATGAGGATAGGATATTGCTTATAGCCTTGTCCAGAGGGGAACAGAGCTGAGGCGTGTCAGAAGTTGCTGGGGGCAAGGTGCATGATTTTGGCATCGAGCCGTGAGGGCCAGACTGGCTGCTGAGTGAGTGCAGGAGGTCGGTGTGGGGAAGGTGCTGCTGACCCTAGAGAGAGGACAAGGCTCTGGGCCCAGCCCCTGACGCTGACCCTTGAGAAAGGGAGCGTGGGAGGAGAAAGCCAACCAATGAGCCTGCAATCTCCCAGTCCAGAGATGAAGGGCCACCTTTATTGTGCCGATGGAGGGGGATCAGAGCTGTCGCTCAGAGATGAAGCATGCTTGGTCCCACGGAGGTACCCGGGCACCGTGTTGCGAGATTGGGCCCGATGTTGCAAGCGGGAGTTGTCTCGCACCCACGTGGGCTTAGTGGGGATGGAGCAGCTTGCCGCGTTCCAGTGCTGCGGAGCCAGAGGATGCCACGGATGACCGCTGCCTGCCGGTGCTGGTGCTGCTGGGCTCAGGTATTGATAGGTGAGCACTGGGACAGCCCCGCACTGCTGGCTGTGGGTGCTCCTTTCACCACGTGGTGCTGGCGGTTGGCTTCTGGCCCACGTGTAGGGAGTTTGGTCTGACAGTTCAACTGGGAGCACTTTCACCATGGATCGGGCTCCTGGGGGCTGGACCTGCTGCTGCCCTCACACACTGAGGGGCCGGCATGTGGCCCCAGTGTCGCAGTGCCAGGGGCGGCTGATGTTTAGTACCAGGGAATTGTGGCATGGCTATAATGCCTCCTGGCTGTCACTGCTGGGGTTGCTGCTGTCTGATTCTTGGGAGCCATAGGAGGACAGCGATGACTCCTGGCTGTCACTGCTGGGGTTGCTGCGGTCTGATTCTTGGGAGCCATAGGAGGACAGCGATGACTGCGGGCTGTCACTGCTGGGGCTGCTGCTCTCCGATTCTTGGGAGCCATAGGAGGACAGCGATGACTCCTGGCTGTCACTGCTGGGGCTGCTGCTCTCCGATTCTTGGGAGCCATAGGAGGACAGTGATGACTGCTGGCTGTCACTGCCGGGGCTGCTGCTGTCCAATGCTTGGTAGCCAGAGGAGGACAGTGATGATTCCTGCCTGTCAATGCTGGGGCTGCTGCTCCCTGATTGCTGGGAGCTACAGGAGGACAGCGCTGACTCCTGGCTGTCACTGCTGGTCGCAATTGCTGGGGAGCGCTGGGAAAGCCCTGACACAGCCTGTCCGGATGCCCACCTTTTCGCACGTGGTGCTGGTGTGTGGCTGCGCTCACGGAATCTTTTTCGCCGCATGGTGGGAGTTTGGGCCCGACGTTGCAAGCGGGAGTGGTCTCGCACCTGCACAGGCCCCGTGCATCTTGAGGTGCTGCCTCTTTGGCTTGCTCTGGAGCCACGGGATGATGCTGATGGCCGCTGTCTTCTGGTGCTGCGGTTGCGGGTCTCACATGCTGGGGGGCACTGGGACAGCCCTGGCAGCGCTTGGCTGTGGGTGCCTCTCACAGCTTGGCTTCTCTCTCGCTCTCTTGTTGGTCGTGTATAGGGAGTCTGCTTCTGACGGTAACACCGGGTTCGGTTCCGTCGTCGATGAGGCCCAGGGGGGCTGGAGCGGCTGCTGTGCTCAGGCAGTGGGAAGCCATGGAATGGCCCCGAATCCAACTGTCTGCTAGTGCTCAGGCTGATGGTCTCCTGTGCTGGAGGTCCCAGAGTCTGCCCAGATGCTGCTGGGGTGCTGCTGCTGGGACCAGCAAGCTCTGAGCTGACTCTGGAGGCTGCAAGGGGAAGAAGGTAGGTCAAGGGTACGGCTCCCAGTCCTGGGGCAGGATAGGCCAGAGCCGTGCCACAGCCCTTCCTGGAGCCAAGCTCACAACAGCCACCCACTTCCGGGCCTTGCAGGGCCCCCAGCCCCAGCACATCCACGTGATTTCACACTTACAGTTGCCCACGCCAGCGCAGCTGTCACACTCCCATCTCTCCCTGCTGTTCCCCAAGTTGGAGCAGCGTCTGTGCGTGCCCTCAGCAGTGCAGGATTGGCAGAGAAGCAGCTGCCAGGGCCTGCGGAAAGAACCACGTTCATGGTTCTGACGATAAAGCGCCCAGAGCATGGGATCATTCAGTAGAGCTCTTGTTCTCAGCCCTTCTACTTCAAGTCCTTACTGAAACAGAGATCCCATCCCGAGCCCCGCAGTGCAGCTTTGGCACCTTACCCCGCTGGCTCTGCCTCCTCCCTGCCTCCTGGACAAAGGCACTCCCTGGCATCGCAGCTGCTGTGCCTCTGGTACAGTGGTGCATATGCACTGTTGTCCTCCCATGACGCTTGTCTGATGGAGAAAGGAAAATTGATGAGCCCCTGCTGCCCCGGCAGACAGCAGATGCAGGGCAGATGCAGCAGATACAGATGCAGCAGATGCAGCAGGTCCAGGCGTGGCACAGCGCCGGGCAGGATGACACCAACCTTATGGGGATTTGGATCCCCATGAAGAGCATTTCCGGGAGAAATATATTCCTGTTTCTACAGAGAGGGCACTGTAAGCAAAAAAAGCCGGCGGAAACAGCCTGTTTCTGCAAGGAGAAACACAAGGAGCACGAGTGAGACTCCGGTGCTGCTGAGAGGCTGCCGTGCCTGGGGCGAGGGAACGGCTCCTACCTGGACGCAGGCCCTGTGGAACCAGGCATGTTTGCACACCGGGCACACCATGGTCCCATAGGTTGTTCTGCCTTCGACAGGGTTCAGGCAGATGAGGCAGGTGGTGCCCCCTGGAGCCACCTCCTCTTGCTGCCGTGGGCGGTGCTCCCAGCAATAGGAGCTAGAGGAAGAAGGAAAGATGGGTGAGTTGAGTGCCACTGGGTTCTTCCCTGGTGACGGCGAAGAGGGGGAGGAGGTACCTGTGCGGTGGGATATAATGGTTGATGCATTCACCCTCCATGGCACAGGGGAGATGGAACCTGCGGTCGCAGCCCGTTGCCTGGCAGGTGATGGTGGCCCCGCTCTCACCACACACGAAGCAGTCCTGGAAAGAGCACAGCAGCCCCCATCAGCGGCAGCCTCAGGGCCTCCACAGCAGGACCCACACCTCAGGGGCAGGGCGCGGGATGTGCCCAATACCGGGTCACAGGCCACAGATCCGCCTGGCAGAGCAGGGGCTGACTCATGCTAGGGAACAACGACCTCGGTTCACAGTGACGCTGTGCATGGCCACAGCCCTTTGTCCAGCTCCACTCGAGCACCGCTGCTCGGGAGTGCCTCCGAGCTCACCGTGCAATCCCCCTGAAGTGCACAGCCTGCTTCAACCATGCCCATATCTCGCATCTTCCCATTCACAGCGGTCAAGAAGGGGCAGACAAAGTACTGGTGCCGAGTTTTCTTTCGCACCCTCGATACCTTCTTCTTTTCTTCACTGCCTCAATACCTCCTTCTCTTCTTCAGTGCCTCGATACCTCCTTCCCTTCCTCAAAATCCTGTCATGCTTTTTGGAGCATCAGTGCCTGAAGCTGAAGGGCTTTGTGTAGCAGCCAGTCCTGTTGGGATATGAACCCAATCTGGATGTGCTTCTTGGTGAACCTCGTGTGCAGCAGCTCAGTGTGACAAGTATGGAGGAGAATGGTTGCAAACAGGCCTTTTCCCTTGTTTTCCAGTTGTTTTTACAGAAAATAAGGGGGTTTTGAGCCAAATTCTGTCCTTCTCTTATTTTTCTTTTGTCTGGTTTGAGCTCGGGGCAGACCCAATGATGCATTTTTGGGGGTTTGTGTAAACGCTCGTGTTCTGTTCTGAGTGTTCTGCTTCCTTCCAGTAACGGAGAGGAAGTTGCAGTCCATGGTTGATGTCAGCAAGCTTCTCTGAATGTACAGTGAGTAATCCTGTGGCTCTGCAGCAGCAGCTGGATCTGCTCTGGAGGATTCTGGATCCAGGACCTCACACAGCTTTGCAGATGAGGAACCTCCCACCCTTCTCACTGTCAGACCCAGCATCCCTGTGCTCAACTGGCCTCCTTCAGTCCCTGCACTAGATAAGCTTTAAGGTCCCTTCCAATCCAAGTAACTCCATGATGCAGACACAGCTGGAACAGGGCTGGCTTTAGCCCAGTTCAATACTACATTTTGGTGGAGCTTCAGAGTGTCTGACCCCTGCCCTAGCCTCTCTCTCTCAGAAATACCTCACCTGTGGGCCAGTGAAGGTGACAAACCCTCATCACCCACTGGGGCAGACCAGTATCTCCAGCAAGTTGGTGTGTAGCAAGGTGCCTGCTGTGTTGCTCTCTTGCCAAGGCTGCCTGTGCTCTACTCACCCCATTGGCACGCAGGCAGCCACACTGATTAAGCTGATGAGCACGGAGAGTTCTGTGCAGTCCCTTTAGTCTGCTTTTCGTGGCCTCAGGGCTGGAGCTGCTCAACCCCAGTCCCAGTGTCCTCCAGCAGCGCTGTTTCTGTCACCCTCAGTGCTGCCAGGAGGAAAGGCAGCAGCAGGAGCTGGGTGCTGCTGTGGTGCAGGGTGGCAGGTGCTATCGACCCTGCGGTGAGCTGTGTCTGTGAGAGCTTGTGTTCCTCCCAGGCTCCAAAAGCGCCAGATGCACAAAGCCTCTGTGATGAAGTACGGGGAGCTTGCACAAGGTGAGGGTTTGCTCTGCAGCTCCACACATGGGTGCTGCTCCATTACCATCTCCACCACTCCTCTGAGTCCCCCCTTGCTGCGTGGTGCTCCCTCTCCCCTCCATGATGGACCCAGTGCTGACCGTGCCTGGGGGAAGGTGTGTAATGTTCCACAGCACAGAGCAGCACCTGCAGATGGGGCCCAGGGCTGGTGTGGTGGTCCCCAGCTTCCACTGGAGCTCCCTGGCTCTGGAAGGGGGGTCCTGCTTGGGTGCTGGGGGTGATGGTTCATGGGAATGGAGTGATCTGTGCTAATGCCAGCTCCAGAGATGAGGCCTGGACTGAGGTGATCGATACCCTCACAGCGGCTGCCGTCAGGTTTGAGATGCTGAGCACTGCTCACTGCAGTCAGGTAGGACAGTGGTCTGTACAGAGATAAGCCATGACAGAGACATGCACACAGCAGTGGAGCAGCCGGGACTGTGACTTGTCTCTGCCCTCAGATCACCCTGGACCTGGAGGACAGCAGCACCTCCACCAAGGGAACCAAGAGCGGCATTTTTGTGATGTACAACTGTGCCTGGCTGGCCACGCTCTTCGACACCTTCCAGCAGGCTGTGGAGCAGGGTGAACACCACCTGCATCCCTCATGGCCACTGCGGGGCTGTTCCTCACACCTGGAGCCACAGCGCTTTTTTAGGCATGAGAGCAGCTTCCCACCTCCTTTCCAGGCATGTACCCACCTTTGCCACCACCCTCAGAGCCGAACTTCTCCTGCGTCCGTGAAGAGGTGAGTGCTGATAAGGGGAATGTGGGGATTAGCTCTGGTGATGCTACTGGTTGGGAGGACCCAGCCCTCTGACACAATCCTTTCACAGGGTGAATGGCTCCCACTCTTCAACTATCTTTTGCCCTTCCCTGAAGTCATGCAGCAGGCAGCACAGCTGCCCACCCCCACCAAGGGGATCCGAATCACAGCCCGCACAGAAGCAGTAAGTGCACATGCCATAGCACTCATGGGTGCTGCTCCACCAGTCCCAGCCTAGGGCAAGGCTACCTGCTGGCCAGGTGCTGCCCACTGTTGAGCAATGCAGGGGGAATGCCAAGGGGAGATTGCAGCACCCCTGGGGCTGCTCCTGCTGTGCTTGGGGCAGGGAAGGGCTGCCAAGGCCAGCCAGACCCCACCAAACCAGCAGAAACTCTGCCTTGCAGGTATGCAAGTTCCTGATCCAGCTCAGCATGGATTTCAGCTCCTACTACACCGGGTGCACACCCTGAGGGTGAGTTGGACGTCCCAGCCCTAAAGTCCTGTGGCTGCATTCCATGTGTACAGCAGCCACATGGAAAACAGGCTTTGGAGTGCCTGTAGCACAGTGCAGCCCTGCACCAGCCCCTCAACGATCTGTACACAGGGGAGAGAAGCAGCAATGCCTCCAGGGCCAGCCTGTTGAAGGACCATACAGCCACCAGCCCCAAGTCACTACTTTTGTCCCCACAAGCTGTTCCCTCATCTCTTTGAGCAGATGTTTGCCTGTCTCCTGCTGCTGGCAGCAGTGCAGGACATGTTCCACAGTGCACTGGGCACACTGCACCTCCCACCCCTCAGCCAAATCCGAGACACTCCTCGAGAGCCATGTCAGAGCGTGACAGGCACCAGAACACTCCACCACAAGGGAAGGACGAGGGCGCATCCTCCCCAGAAGGGTGAGGGGCTGCCCCACTGTCAGACAGAGGGGTCAGGACATGCCTCAGACCATGAAGTTTGGGCATTAGGCTACCTGCACCTAGTGTGCCGTGTCCAACCAGAAGGGAGGATGCTGGAGTGCCCTGTAAGCCAGACAAGGGAGTACTGGGAGAAGCACCACCAGGGACCACACACCACAAAGCCAGGCACCAACTGTGCTTCCTTCCAAGCTGTTTATTGAAGGTTGCTTCTTGCTGGCAGGGAGCTCCTGAGGCTCATGGCTCCTGTTGATGCCTGGGCCAGGCCCCGACACTGGGGTCCAATACATTTGTTGCTGGACGAATGCTCGTGTGTGTGCCTGACTCTAACAGAGCACCGTGTCCCATGTGGGGCTCTAAAGAATCTGTCCCTACTTGTGTCAGTACAGTCTCCAGCACTGCAGGGGCAGGGCTGCTCCACAGGGCCCTACCTCAGAGACCACAAGCTGCAGCCTGCCACGTGCTGCACCATTGCCTTGTCTTGCCCTCCTGCTGCCCTCAAGCACCCTATTGAGCATGTTCCTCTATGGGATTAGGGCTGGAAAGCCTGGACATGGGTTCCTCTCATCTTGGGGTGGACGAACTCCTCCTGGGCAGGGTGGGCTGTGAACCCCACTCCTCCTTTATTGCCTGGGGAGCTGCAGCTTGTCCAGGAGGGGTCACCTCTGCTTTGCCCCCTGAGATCACCAGCCTTGAGCACTGCAAAATGTGGCTGTGCTGCCCTCAAGGAGCCAAATATACCTGTGCCCTCAAGGGCACATCAGCATGGAGGGTGGCACAGAGGCTGCGGTAGTGGGCACAGCACAAGTGCAGGAAATCAACTGGGCCACACTTGCCCTCCTACTGGGGAGGCTCTGATGGAGGGGGCTCAGGGGGGATTGTGCCACGCAGCATCTCCAGCCCCACCCCGCAGAGCACACAATAGAACCACTGCTCCCCACCAGCCTCCACCCCCTCCCAGCAGTCCAGCTCGGCCAGGTCGGGCACATGGAAGAAGGTTGTGCTGAGCTCTTCCAGCCCGCCTGGGCCACGCTGCCACAGAGTCAGGCGCTGGTCCACTGAGGCAGAGAGCAGCAGGTCTGGCCGCAGCACCCGGATCCCCATCACATGCGCAGCATGGGCACAGGGCTGGGCCACCCGCTCCAGAACGTGCAGGCAGGCCCCCGCCATGGGGTTGTCCCCATCTAGGGTGACCTCCAGCAGGCAGATGTGGATGGAGCCATCATCGCTGCCGCTGGCCACCAGGTACCGTCCCTCCAGTGTCTCATAGATGTGCAGGCTGTTCACACCACAGCTATGGGCCATCACAGTGAGCAGTGGGGCTCCCAGCGCTGGAGAAACAGGGTCAGTAGGAGAGTGATGCTCACCTTGGTCATAGGGAGCAGGGGAGCCACCAGTGTGGCATCTACAAGAGGCACAGCAGAGCCACTGGCCAATGCACTCACCCAAGGGCTTCACCTCTCCCTCTGCTTCATTCAAGGCATCCACTGCATCCGCAATGGGGCTGGTGATGTCCCAGAAGGCGATGCTGCCGTCAGTGGCTGCGCTGCACAGGAGGTGCCTCCTGGAAGGGAGGTGTTGGGGAGCCTCTGGCCACAGCCCTGAGGGTCCCCACTGAGATCAAGGGAAGCCGAGCAGCCACAACAGGCTGATTTCACCCTTCCCTCCACCCGCTGCCACCCCTGCAAAGACCAGCACTTCTCCCCAGAGCCCCATGGGCTGCAGCGCAGCGTTCCAGGTTCACCTCTCCCCTCCTGCCCGTGTGTGCAGGAACGCCTCCACCTTCAGCACGCAGCGCTGGTGGTGAAACGACTCTGCCACCAGCACCAGCTTCCGGGTGGCCTCCAGCAGCCTGAAGAGCCTGCAATGGAGCAGAGGACAGTTGGATGTGCGAGACGAGGACTCCCTGCACCTCTGCCTCCACTGCCCACGGTGCACTGTCCTGTTCCTGGCTCAGAGCAGGCCACATCTGTGGCAGCAGCCTCCCCTGTAGTGCCTGCTCCTCTCCGGTCATCAGCCCCAGCTCTGCTCTCCCTCATGACAGCTTCTCACCGGACCGATCCATCACTGCAGGCAGCAGCCAGGAACTTCCAGGGACTCGGCATCTGCTTGGTGCTGGTCCCAGGTATGACCGAGAGGGACATATACCTGCAGGAAACACACAATGCTCACCAACACCTCAGTGATGCCTGTGGCCTAGGGTACAGGAGGCCCAACTGAGCAGCCCAAGCCTAGCACAGGACACAGCTCCAAGCACTCAGAGGAAGTACAAGGAAAGACCAAGGCTTTCTCTAACCCCTAAAGCCCCTCAAGGCTCAGCCACTGGACATAGGACACCAGGGATGAGCACAGGAAGCCACACCATGTCCTTCTGCCCGCAGCCACACAGAGGAGGTATCCCAGTGCTATACCCAGCACTCTCCTGGACCATGGTCACCGTTAACCCCACCTCAAGCAGGCCCTGAGCATCACCTTGTCTCCGGATCCATCTTGACAAGCTTGTGCCTGTTCTTCTTCCGCTCCCAGTGCTCATCCAGCCGGTGGGAAGCCACGTGGATGACCTGGCAGCCAACAGCACCTTCGGAGGCTGGGTCCGCAGCACACAGCAGCCGGTAGCACTCAATCTGTGCCCGGCCCCCCGCAGAGAAGAGCAGGGTGGACAAACCCTCATCATCAAAGCCCTCCTCACCAGGTCCCACGGGACCAGCCAGCACCAGTGCCCTCACACTGGAAACATGGTCACTGAGCCGAGTGAGGGGCACAGCAGCCTGGGAGCACTCACTGAGCACCAGAACACAGGCCGTGGTGTCCTCGCTGCCCGTGACAAAGATATTAACGGCAGCACGGCCGGGCACCTCCACCGCGCCGAGGCGCCGCACGCAGGTGATCCCCCGCCCGTGCAGTGATGGCAGCAGCACCTGCTGCTCATGGGGCTCAACCCCACGCTGGTACAGCAGCACATCTCCACACTTGATGAAAGCAACGACCTCGGCCTCGGGGCTGCTGCAGTAGCTCCAGGAGCGGTGCCCCCCACCGCAGGGGATGCAGTGGAGGTTCTCACCCATCCGGCTGCTCCACACCAGGAAGTTGTCAGCATGAAAGCCCAGAACCAGCAGGTCTCCGTCTGCAGTGAAGCGCAGCTCCTCAATCCACTGCAGCCCTTTGCAGGGCCTGTGCTTCCACAGCACCTCCAGCTGCTGGTCCTGCACACGGAGCTGCCGGTACACTCCGTCTCGGCCCGTGCTGTAAATGTAGCCCCCATGGCAGGTCACTGAGGTAACTCCGGTCTTCCCGTGAAGCCCAAAGAGCACCGACAGCGGGGCCTCGAGGGGAAGAGCTTCTTTGTGTGACAAGCAAGACAGCTCCAGCTCGCGGCTGGTATCCTCATAGACCGGGTTGGTCGCATTCTCGACAACCAGGTCAGTAATGCCATTGGCAATGCTGGCGCTTTCCACAGCCTGTCCTGAGGACCTGCTGCACGGGAAGAGGAGGAGGGACCCCCGGCGGTCCCCACAGAGCAGGAGCCCTCCCTGCGGCAGGAATGCTGCACAGGTATGCCAGCGCTGCTTGCAGAGCGGCAGCAGGTACCGTCCCATGACCTGTACGCGAGGCGCCCGCCCAGGCCGGTGGGTGACATCCAGCCACAGCATCTCTCCGTCGGGCCCGGAGGCCAGCAGGGACGAGGCACCGGGGAGCAGCCCAGGGCGGGGGGCCCAGCACAGCCCGCGCACGGCCCCTTCGAACAGTCTCAGTTCGGTGGCGTCCCCGGGGCAGCTCAGGGCGAACAGCAGGAGTCGCCCATCGCCACCGGCCAGGGCACAGAGCGTGTCCTCCCCACTGGGCAGCGGGGAGGCCGCTAGCAAAGCGCGGGGCCCGCCGGCACCGGGGGGCAGCACTGGAGCCCAGCGCCCCGCCGCCGCCTCGTAGGCCGCCAGCCCACCCGCCTCGCCCAGCACCAGCACCCGCCGCGGCCCCGCCAGCACCACAGACCGCGGCCGCAGCGGGGACCCCAGCGCCACCACCGGAGCCGCGGCCGCCCGCCGGGGCCGCCAGAGCCGGACGCCGCCGTCGTCGCCGCCCGTGGCGAGGCAGCCGCCGGCAGGACGTAGCGCCAGAGCGCGCAGAGCCCCGCGGTGACCGCGCCGGTCTCGCCACACGTCGCCACCGCCGTCCCACTCCAGGCAGGCACCGTCCTCACCGGCGCTGACCGGGCACTGACCCCGCAGCACCACGGCGGCCACCCGCGCACCGTGCCCGTAGCACACGAGCAGGCAGGAGCCGTCCCCAACCCCGTCCCCGCCAGCCAGGTCACCCACAGCCCAGAGCCGCACGCTGCGGTCCTCGGAGGCAGAAGCGAGCAGCCCCCGCGGTGCTGAGTAGCAGAGCGCCAGCACCGTACCACAGTGCCCGCACAGCCGCCGCTGCGGGACCTGGGACGCCGCCACCCGCCACACCACCACGGTCCCCATCGCCGTCCCGGCCGCCAGCGCCAGCCGCGTCCAGCCCGTGCCCGCCAGCACGGCGCAGCGCAGCGCCCCGGCCCCGTCGCAACTCGACCGCCGCAGCCAACACCCGCCGCCCCGCCACTCGTACAGCGCCACGGCTCCGCAGCCCAGCGCCAGCACCAACCGCCCGCCCGGGACCCACCGCGCCTCCCACACCCGCGCCCGCAGCTCCCGCGCCTCGCCGCCGCCGCACACAGCCAGCCGCGCCCCTCCGGCCCGCACAGCCAGCACCGCCAGCCAGCGCCCGCCGAACACCGCCACCCGCCCCGCCGCCGCCCCGGGGCCGCGGTCCGGCCTCAGCCCCAGCACGCTGGCCTCACGCAGCACAGTCCTTCGCGCCGCTGTCCCGCCTCCGCTGAGCCGGAACGCCACCACCTCCGGGCCCGTTCCTGTGGGACACCGCGTCAGCCTCCGCTGGTCCCGCTACCTCCCGCAGCCCCAGCCGGTCCCGGTGCTCACCCGCCAGCAGCACACCCCCAGCGAACTCCAGCGCCGTCACCGGCGCCACCAACGACACCGACTCCATGTTAGCAAAGGCACCTCCACCCCACTGATTGGCAGAGACCGCCTCCACTACCGCCCCGCCCGCTGCTCATTGGTAGGGTCCCCCGCAGCCCCGCCCCTAGAGCACGCGGAGGCGACGCTCCGTCTCTCCACGCTTTATTGGTGCGCCGCGCGCCATCGCCCCCTCCGGCCCAGCGCGGGAAAAGGCCACGTGCGCGCCGCCGAGCAGCCTTTTCCCGTCAGCTCTACAGCTCCAGGTGCATCCCGCTGTACGCTTTATCCACTGTCCACTCCCC